TCTATATAAGGAGATGGTTCATCAGGTCTGTTCTTTTTATGCGGTGCTGGATTTCCTGATCCTTCACTTTCCATTGCTCTTTTAAAACTCGGGTGAAATGTTTTTTGTTTTTTATGTTCTTGCCCTACTGAGGCTTCACTTGAAGATGATAATGCTCGTTTTGCATTCAAAGGATATACATGTTTAATTTCTTCGATAGGATTCCTGGACAAAGCGTCAGCATTTTTATTTATTTTTCCTGGTTTGTATTTTATTTGATAATCGTATTCCGCTAATTTTAGTCTCCACCTCATTAATCGTGACGTAGGATCAGATACTGAATTTAACCATTCTAATGGTTTATGATCCATTACTAATGTAAATTTACGTCCATAAACATAAGGTCGAAAATGTTTTACAGCATAAATTAAAGCTAATAATTCTCTTTCTGTAGGCGAATATCTTGTTTCTGCGTCATTTAAAACTCTTGATGCGTAAGCTATGGGTAGATCGCTTCCTATTTTGCCTTGACTTAATATTGCACCAATGGCGTATCCTGATGCGTCAGTAGTTATAATAAATGGTTCATTAAAATTAGGATATTGCAAAATTGGTTCTGAGCACAAGGCGTGTCTCAATTTATCAAATGCTTCTTGTTGTTCTTGTTTCCATTCAAATGCAATAGATTGTTTCGTTAAATCTGACAGAGGTTTAGCGATTTTAGAAAAGTTTTTTATGAATCTTCGGTAATATCCTGCAAGACCGAGAAATTGCTTAATATTCTTTCGTGTTTTTGGCATTGGAAATTCTTTTACAGCCCTTATCTTCTTGGGATCGGGTCGTACACCATTTTCAGTTATCACATGTCCAAGATAAGCAACTTCTTTCTTTAAAAATTCACATTTATCAGGTTGTAAGGATAAATTTGCTTCTTCTAGTCGTTTCATTAATCGTTGGAATTTAATCTCATGTTCCTGAAGCGATTTAGCGTATATTACGATATCATCGAGATATACAAACAATTCAATTCCTTGTAAGCCTGTTAATACCTGATCCATTAATCTCTGAAAAGTAGCAGGAGCGTTCTTTAGTCCAAACGGCATACGGTTATATTCAAAATGTCCGTACGGTGTTGAAAACGCAGTCTTATGCTTGTCAGTCTTGTCCATTAATATCTGGTGAAATCCAGAAGCTAGATCAAATACTGAAAAATATTTTGCACTACCAAGTTGATCGAGTATATCGACAATATTTGGTAGTGGATATGCATCACCGATCGTTTTCTCATTAAGCGCTCGAAAATCTATTACGAGACGCCATTTTTTATTGCCTTTAGAATCATCCTTTTTTGGTACAATCCACAAAGGAGAATTATAAGGCGAGCTCGATGGCTCTATCACACCTTTTTCCAACATTTCGTCAACCTGTCGTTGTATTTCTTCCTTATGTACTTGAGGATATCGATATTGCTTGACGTTGATTGGTCTATCGTCAGTGGTGAATATTCGATGCTTTGATACGCTAGTTGCGCCTAGCGATTCTCCTGGCAAATGAAATCGTTCCGCATATTTTGTTACTAGCCTAGTGACACTAGTTTTTTCTTCCGCATTTAAATGATCGAGACGTAGTAGCTGTATTATTTGATTAACTCGTGTTTTATTGTCCTTTGAGTCTTCCTCTGCGTCATTTGCGTCCATTTCTTCGTTATTTAGCTCTTTGAATGGATATATTTTTACAGTCGGTATTGCTAATTCTACGTCTTCGTCCGATGAGTTAATAACATATAGATGTGCTATCCCATCACGATTCGAGACTACGGCGTTACCTAAGTACACCTGCAATCCGGCATCTAATTTTGGAATATATCCGTTTTTTATTTCAGGATTTGCTACACGAACAAATATTTGTTTTCGCGTTCTAGCGGGAATAGTGACGATTTCGTCGTTATGGAAATAGTACGATACTCCGTTCACAACCAGACAAGCCCTCGGGTAGTCTATAGTTGCCTTTTGATTTTTGAAGAATTCCGTGCCTAGTATTCCATCTGACTTAATTGGAAAATTATTAGGAACTACATGAAACCATGCATCAGCATCGAGAATGCGTAATTTAGCTACGCCTATCGTGCGTGTTCGTCCTTTAGTTATTCCACTAAGCTCGAATACTATTTTCTTATCAATGGGCACATTCTCATGGAGCGAATTCTCTTTTATCAAATTTATGTCGGATCCCGTATCTATCATAAAGCTAGCGCGTTCGTCGAGAAGATTTTTACTTGGCAGAACGACAGAAGGTGGCTTCCCGATCTTATTACAGATTTTTACACTTGCGTTTCCTCTTGAGGTTCCTCCGGGTTGACCAGGCGCACTCGCGGGCGTTCGTTCAGCGCTGCGCCTACTCGCTGAGCCCGATCTCGGTTTCCCGAATTCTCTTGGGCTCTGTCGCGTCGTACGTTTTCAGAAATTCTATTTTCTCTATTGAAATATTGATTTCCTTGGTTTCGCAGATTATTATTATATTGTCTCTTTCGACATTGTTCGAGACTGTGGCCAGGAATCTTGCAGTATCGGCAAATTAAACCAGCGTTTCGCGGATTAGCTAAATTTAGACGATTAAAACGATTATTATTATTATTAAAATTCATATTTCGCGTGGCATTATTTATCAAAGGATTTCGAACATTATTTAATAAGGGATTTCGGTTCAAAATTCGCGGTTGTAAGGCTTTACATTCTGCTCGTACATGTCCAGAATTTTTACAATACGAACATACTTTTGGTTGCCATTGCACATGAGATATTTGTGCAAGAGGATTAATAGTGCTGCATGAATAAGTATCATGACCATATCCAAGACAATTATTGCATCGAATTGATTGTATGAGTCCTTCCGTTATTCTTATACGTTGCGCGTGTTCCTGATACTCTGTTTCAGCTTTTATTGCGGATTCTATCGCGGTATTCAAAGTAATTGCGTCTCGTGGATACATTCTTGTATAAATGTCTGTTTTTAAACCGGTTAGAAAATTTCTTACAGCATTGCTTTCAGCAGAATTTAAAAATTGTATCGCCTGATTCGGATTTTCAGTTTGATAACAAGATTTTAATTGTTGCAGGATCATTGATACTCGGCTACCGTAATCGACTACTGATTCGTCGGGATGTTGAGTTACTTTAGCAAGTTCCCCGTGCAATTGTGATGAAGAATAAACTGGTGCAAATCTAGTTCTTAAGACTGCTAACAAAGATTCTATATCATTATATTCTCCACTTAATGCCACCCTCAATGCAGGTCCGACTAACTTATTTTTTATCATTTGAACAAGTCCATATTCCGCGGTAGGAGAAATCATATTTTTAGCGTGCATGCAACTATTAGCAAACTGTAGGACGGGCATATTTTTTCCATCAAACGGGAGAATTGTCTCGGCTGCATCTCGCAAACTTATATACGGCGCATTAGCTCTACGATTCGCGTCGGTTGCGTTAATATTCATGTCGCCTATCTGTCTAGTTAAATCATTTATTCCGTCTGTAGCCATTTTTATTTATTATAATTACTTATTCGTTAAAAGGAAATGTAAAAGTTCGTAATATTGGCAGGTTCGCACTTACATGTATCGTATGATAATGAAAAGAAGAATGATAGTTATGCGCGACTCCATGAAGCCTTGTCCACACGCTCGCAGCCTTATCCCTGCAGCTTCTCTCCGGAAAAGATCCTTTTCTCGTTAGTAGAGACAGGATGTTGTAGAATGAATACAGCAATCGGCTTCTTCTTCCGCTACTGGCTCACTCAGCTTCCAGAGAATTGAAGTGTTGTCCCAAGGGATGCTTTCCAGATGTCCAATCCTTTCAGCCTTCCAAATCGGGATCGCCTTTCTGGCAATCCCACCGCTGCCACCAAAAATTTTCAACTTGTGACGTCCTGGGTGATGCGAGGTGGCTTCGATCCGACAGAACGTCTCCGTTGATGGGTTCTTTTTCTTGCAGTTAAGGAGTTAAAACCCCAGGATAATTAGCTGTTGGTCGGCGATGTAGATTATGGCTCCTTGGATCCGTCAAAGGTAGGTAATTCAATAATCTTCAATAATCTTTATCTTTCTTTTGATATAAAAGAATATGATATTTATTGTAGAACTTTTACGATACAAGTGGTTTATGTGGGAGGATGGAACAAGTATAAGATATGTGACCTTTCCTGGCTCGTTCCACACTCTCCGTCGAGAGGGTGAAAGATTCTGCTTTTATACAATTTTGGAAACGGTGGTGGGAGGTGACCACACCTCGTTACAATGAGTCATAAGGCGTTGTCTAGCGGATGTGAGTCTACTTCTAGGGGTGTGGCTCGCTAGCCAGCAATGAGTCATAGGGTTGTGGCTTGCAATTCATTACCTTATATGGTTATGCGTGGCGTTCTGCTTCGACGAAGACTAGATTCACTCGAATGAGTCATACAGGTGACTCGTCTGAATTCTATTTTTATTCTCTAGTCTAACGGCGATTTGTATTGAGAGCGATACTTCTTTTCATTATTAAATTTCATTATGACTTTTATCATGAAGAAAATATTTAATATTTGAATCGTAAAAAGTGCAAATATATGTTGAACATTATTTAAATTTCTTTAGACATACTTTACATACAGTAGAATAATTTAATAATACAATTTAAGTCATTATTAGCATGTCTAAAGTATAAGAGATATTGCTCTCTTCGTCTAATAGTTAATATGGTATATCTGACTCTCTCTTTCTCTCTTTCAGATCATACAATACTCGCATCTCGCTCGGATTCGTGTTTCTTACGCTGCGCATAATACAATTCTATCTTTCTCGAATTCGTGAGTAACGCTTCGGCGCTTGACATTCGATATTTATATTAATTTTGGTAAGTATATATATTTGTTAAAAATAATATTAATAAAAGTGATGTTAGCGGTGTTAATAATGATTCTAATATCGGGTTAATAATATATCGTGCAGATAGAAATGGTCAACATTCTCATTAGTACAGGAAATTAATCAAATTAAATTGTATATATATATATATATATATTAAGATTTTTATTATTTTTATATCTCGCAAATGGTTGGGAATTTGATGGGAGTGTATAGGAAACATATTGCAGAAATAAAAGTTATAATCATTTTTCGTAGGTCTACTGATGCAGAGTTTATGTGCGCGGTCAAAATTTGTGTTTACCCGAACGAGTTTTTATGTTCATGATCTATAATTGCCAATTATACGTCATAATGCAGACGGAGGTATATATTTCGTTAATTAATTAGGTGTAGCAAATTGTTAAAATTTATGTTTTCCATATGGGCTTGAAGAGGAAGGTTTAAACTTAATTTACATCCAAACGGGGTATTTTTTGCAGACGTCATTTAAGAGATATTAAGGGTTGAAGTTTGAAATAGTCGAATTTCGGGTAGTTGTGATAGAAAAATATCAATTATATGGCACAACTCCCATGCTAAACTGTTATACCGGGTGTCTTTCCCTTTGGAATTTTTTGTAGCCTCAACCAGAGGAGTGACGAGGTTTTGACTTATACAAAAGTTATTATGCATAACCTGGGGCACATGTTAACGGCTATTATTAGTGTGGTTAATTATTTATTTATAATTGTTTATAAAAATAAGTTGCAAAATCAAACAATCTTGTAGTAAGTATTTTTTCATTAAGTCGATCAGTTTTTCGAGATGATTTTGATGACGTAGTTAGTAAAATGGTATTGATATAATTTTAATTGTTTATAACAATTGTTTTGAAAAATATTAATAAGATAATAGTTATTTCAATGTGGTGTTTTTCCATAAATATAGGAGCATGTATTTCTATAATTGTTTTATCTCCGTCTATTTGTTTTCATTTTTATTTTAATTTATTAAGAGTTTATAAGGCTATCCTTGTCTTACTCTCTGTGAATTGGTATTAAACTATCCTCGTCTTTCATGGAGTGAATGTTCAATTTTCAATCTCGTTTATTAATTTAATTAATTTAGATAGAAAATCGGCGTTAACGTTACTGATGTTTAGGAGTATGAGAGATTCTATTTTTATTATAATAATTAAGTGTCAAAATTTTCGTTCAGAAATGTAATTTTTCAGCTTTAAAATGTATAAAAGACTAAAATATTAATGTAAAAGTGATTTGGTCTTTGTAAGTCTAAAGGGTAGGAAATTCAAAATGGCGGATGTGAAACTTTAATAATTTATAACTCGAGAACGGTAAGAGATAAAAAGATGGGGTTTCTTTTGTTGTGTTCAGATAATTAAGGGCATTATTTTAGGTTGTTTAAAATTTCTGTGTTTTATGGATTTCCATAATTTTTAATTATATCTCGGAATTGAGAAGAGATATAATGTGGGGGTTTTTGTTAGGTTACTTGACATGCTCTGCTGAGTATCTGCGGTGATTTTATTTATCATCTTTAATAATATTTTTATGATAAATTTTATTGTTAATTAGTTTATTTTGAGAGATACAATAATGGTTTATAATCAAAAGTTATTTGACTTTTTGTGATAGTTCCAATAATCACATTAACTAGGTCTGTTAATAATATAATTTATTTGTTTATAACAATCATGTTTGAAAAAATGCTAATGAGATAATTATTATTTTAGCGTGATAATGTTTCTCAGGCATAAAAGGTTATGTTCTTATGAATAATCTTCTTTTAATTAATTTATTTATATTTTATTTTAATTTTCTGAGTTTATTCTTATGGAACATGTATTTATTCGTGTGTTGAATTGAATTTATATTGCATAAAAGATCTCATAAAGCTTGTAATATTCATTTACGATCAATTTTAGTGACTCTGGGGAATTTTAACAAGCAATTGTCCAAAAGTTTATAGTGTGATTTATGCAAATGGGGCTTAAGCTTGAAAGGGTACCTTAAGGCAGCCATGTTCTCTAGGCTTATGTCTACTGCTTTAAGAACGCGTATTCGCATCAGCTGAGTGTTTGTTGTGACAGCTATTTTAAAGAATAATTGTTATATTATAATGTTGTTTTCAGATGCTGGGGACTTCTAGCAATGAAGATGGAAAATCGAAAAATTTATGCGGGTGGAATATAGCGGTGATTATACCGTCAGACGTGACATCTCCCTCCTTAGGAAAGTTCGGTCCCCGAACTTTTATTAGTAAGTATAATTTTATGGTTATGTCGTATAGAGTATGATTATATTTATAGATAATTAATTATTTATGTGATTTTTATTATAGGATTCTAAAGTGTGCCTGGCAGTGTAAGAGCTGTGTTGCTGCAGTTGGATTTATCTAAATCGAGGTAATAGTTCCATTGTTTAGCAATGTGCTTAAGTAGTTCTATAGATTTGATTAGTAATATTTTTTTTTCTTCTTCCCTGATCTGCAATCCGAGCAGGTTTAGTTCGGTCTACATGTACGATTTTAATTTTATTTGGTGGAATTAATATTTTAATATTATTATTTTCTAGGATTTCCACAATTTCATACGGCCCTGTATATTCGTCATCGAACTTGTTTTTCTTTTTAGGTTTTAATAAATATATAAAATCTCTTACTTTATACGTTTGTGTTTTTAATTTCTTATCATAATAATGTTTATAACGTGTTTTGGCTAACCCTAAATTTGACACAGCTAATTTTCTTAAATCAGTTAATTTATCAATAAGTTCGCTCACGTAATCGTCATACGTTTCTACCGGATCTTCTGTCTTTAGTTCAGATGGCAATCGTGCGGCTTTGCCGAATACTAATTCATACGGTGTAAATTTTGTTCCCTCATGTACGCTAGTATTATATGAAAACATAGCATGCTCGAGCCAATTATCCCAATCATGTTCATCAGTTATGTAATGCTTTAAATATTCGGTCAATACATGATGGCTTCTTTCTAACGAGCCATTGGATTGAGGATGGAAAGCAGTTGTGCAATATTGTTTTATTTTAAAATATTTTGCAAATTTCTTCATCATTGAACTAGTAAAATTTGAACCTTGATCCGTCAAAATTGCTTTGGGACTTCCAAATTGACAAATAAATCTACGTGTGAATGCTTTTGCTATTTCCTCTGAGTTCGCTTGCACAAGAGGTACGGCAACTGAATATTTTGTTAATTGATCCTGAATTGTTAAAATATATTCATTACCATTATCAGTAATAGGCAAAGGCCCTAATATATCCATAGCAACTTTATCAAATGCGTCTACAGGAGTGTCGGTTATAATCATCGGTTGTTTAGTCTTTACGCGTACTAATTTTTTCTTTTGGCAACTACTACAGGTTTGAATAAATTTTTCAACTTGACTTTTCATATTTTCCCAAAAATATTTATGACGTATCCGCGCCACTGTTTTTGCGATTCCTTTATGTCCTCCGACACTGGATTCGTGGGACTCACGTATGATACGCGGTCTATCCTTGAGCTCGGGTATGCACACTTGGCCCTTGCATACAGTAATTTGAATGTCTGTATTTAAAAATGTAAGTCTTATAATGCATCGTATTCTGAACCATGGTATTTTTATATCGCTATTGTTTTCGGATATGCTCGCATGTGAAATATTTAAACGCATCATTTCGTTTTTTAATTCTCTAAATCCCTGCGCTACATGTTTTTCTTGAATCTGATCATTTAATTCTTCTTTAATTATTATTCCAAAAATTTTCTTGTTGTTCTTTTCTGATATTAACACATGTCCTATTATTCCTTTAAAATTCTTCGGCTTCTGGCATATTTTTCTATCAATTAATTCTTTCCCTATTTCATCTATCGGATCTCCCTTTGTATTTATAAAGTATATTATATTATCATTTCTCATCCATATGTGATCTCGAGAGTCTATAATGTTAACAGAAGTAACTTCCATTTCTCTTATTCTTGGTCTCTGTAATTCTCTCGGTGGTGTTCGTTCCTTTAAGTTAGATTTTTTATTTGTTTTCTTACTTAATTTTTTGTTTGGGAATTTTTTATTTACTGGTCTTTTATTAGAAGTTGTGGCTTTTGTTTTCGCAGAATTTTTATTACTTATTTGTAAAGGTTTAGGAACTGCTTTATACGAAAGAGGTGAAAATATTCTGTTCGTATTACTTTCGTCTGTCGAATCATCGCTCGGTGTTTTCTGTTCACGGTATCCTAATGGTTTTTTATTTATTTCATAATCCATTTCATTATCAGTGTCTACTTCCATTGTTTTTAATTCTTGTTTATTTAATGGTATATTTTCTTCTATTATTTCAATAGCGTCAATGTCATCTGGCAATTTTGGTAAATTTTTATCAATTTTTACTTTTGATTTTGGTATTATTTGCATATGCGAAGGTGGTGCATGAACGTCAGCCTGTATTTCAATATTAGTGCGGTTTTGATGGCTGTCGCTAGACTGTGATGTTATTTCCATAGCCTCATCTTCAGATTCCTCTTGTTGTTTATGCATTTCTTTTTCATTATAAAATTTTTTATCATCGATTCGTTTTTTCGGGACACCCGTTGTGTGGCTTTCGCTCGGCCTCTTGCGTGAAGCGCGTGCGTCGTCGGGAGCGGTTGCTTCCTGCAGCGGCTCATAGGCGGCGTCGTCATCGCTAAGACGCTCTTGCGGGCCGCGCCCTTCAGCTTCATCCACATGCAACATTGCGTCTTT